AAGAAAAAAGCGAACTGGGGGTGGGGGGAGGGGTGGACAGGGAGAAAAATGTGCAACAATGAATGAATGGAAATCCACGTTCTTTATAAACTTTCATTAAAATCTCAATTTTTTTTTAAAAAAATGTTTCAGTCAGTAAGCATTTATCCTTGACCGGCAAATGAAAAATACCCATTTAGATCAGCAAAAGCTGAGTTTAATTCAGTCATTTATTCTGAATCAAAAGGGCTTTTTGCACTTGTCCTTTACAAGGGACAGGCCCTCCAGGCTTTGCTCACCTCATGTCTCATCAACTCTCCTCTTGCCCACTACCTTGTGGCACCCTCCTCACACACTGGCATGTGTCGGCGTGGGACTACTCCACGCTCAGCACCCTTCCATCAGGGTACACAGGCGTTCCCAGGGCACACGGGCGTTCCCAGGGCACGGGAGGCGGCTCCCTCAGCACTTGCAGGTTTTTATTCAAATGCCATCTTCTCTAAGAGTCCTTTCCTGCCCACAGTCCAGAGCCGAGCCGCTTCAACCCGTGAGCTCACTCTTGATTTATTCTCCTCTGCATTTACCTTCCTTTAACATTTGTTGTTGTTAGATGCCACTTCTCAGGCTGAGCTGTTAGGCCACCAGAGTCGAAAGTTTGTTCCGACATAAGGACGTGTCAGGAGACCCCCCCTGGCAGTGGATTGTATTGTTGTGTGCTGTTGAGTCAGAACCAAGTCATAGCTGACCCTCCAGAGGCTGTAAATTGCATAAGAATCGACTGCCCATCTTTCTTCCAACTGGTGGATCTGAACTATGTGCCTTTGAGTTGACTGTACAGCGCCTTGCCACTAGGCCACCAGAGCTCCCAGCGGGGCAAAATGAACTCCTGAGCTCCATGCTGACGGGGTGGCCTCCGCAGCAGCCTGGCATTGGCAGAGCTTATGTGTGTGTAGGGGGGGCTCCACTACAGTCTCCTGACTGGCCCCACTGTTCACGTCCATTGCCTCCTTTCAAAGATGTTAACAGCTTTCTGTCTCTGTTCCATCAGATCTTTGACTTCTCCCTCACTGAAGAAGAAATGAAAAATGTGGAAGGCTTGAATAAAAATGTCCGCTTTGTGGAGCTGCACATGTAAGTTTTGGGGGACTGGTCATAGAGTACTCCCCAGTCGTGTGGACGGGTCACACTCCAACCAGCAGGACTCAGGCGAGTCCTTGCTATGTCCACAGAAAGCGCAGGACAAAGGCTGTGGGCAGCACGTCCTGGACATGACTGGCCAGCCCGGGGGGAGACCAGGCCAGGCAAGTGAGGAAAGTGCCTACAAACAGATAGCTGTCAAACAGATGCCAGCTCACAGTGATTCCATAGAACAGCCAGTCAGCTGCCTCAGATGCCTGTGATCTTAGTGAGGGTAGCCAGTGCCTCGTCTCTTCTCCTTATTCCCTAGTATGCCTTGCTCTACCTGCCAGCTGATTGCTCCCAAGCAGAATTCCCTGGATTCCTTCAAAATTTGTCAACATCAGTCTTGGAAAAAGTACAGCCAGAATGATCCTTAGAAACATAGAAGGAAAGACTTGAGCACAAGTACTTGGGAAATGCTCTCAGAAGGGGCTAGTCGCTGCAGGTGGTGGTGGTGGTTATGCTCCATCAAGCTGACTGTGTGTGAAGCACAAGTCAGAACCTGGCCCTTGCCCGCATCTCCTCACATCTCCCACGTGCTTGAGTCCCTTGTTGCTGTCACTGTGTCAAGCCATCAAGTTGAGGATCTTCCTCTCTTTCAATGATCCTCTACCTTTTCCCAGAATAATATCTTTTACCAGCTAGCTGATACAGTTAGACAACAGAAACAGTCGCGGTACATCTAAAAATGCCCCAAATGAAACCCAAATCCACAGCCTTAGCGCCAGCTCTCCTAGCACCCTGTAGGACAGAGGAGAACAACAGCCTTGTAGGATTTCTAAGGCTGGAGTTCGTTACAGAAGCAAACGGAGTCCTCTATCGCCCATCTTTCTACTGCAGCAACTGGTAAGTTCAAACTGTTGACCTTTTGGTTGTTGTTGTTGTTGTTGTTGTTAAGTGTCGTTGAGTCACAGATGACTCGTAGTCATGAATAAAAGACCCGAACACTTCCATAACTTTCATCGTTTCTCCACATTCATGGAGTTTCCAGAGGCAAGCTGTTTTAGAAGTGGGTGCCACTCCTGCTTCCAAGCTTGTTTTAATCGGGGAGCTCCGCCAAACACTGTCCACCATGGGGAACCTATTCTTGCATTTGACACATCAGTGTCACAGTGTTTAGCATCACAGCCACCACGAGTTACCTCTGTACAGCAAATAGACAGACCAGGGCTATACCACTTAGAAGAATGTTTGACAAAAAACAATTAAAACCAGGCCTGAGGGCCACAGATTAAAATCACCCACCTTTGGCTTGGTAGCATCACTTTCTATCCACTAGGTCAACGTAGCTCTCTCTACACATAACGACCTTTTAGTTAGCAGCCAATATATTGAACCATTGTTTCAAGCATTTTCATAATGCTGCCATGCATGTAACAGACCGCTACAGCATCAACATAACTTTTATGTGCACTGATAAATCAAACAATTTGTGTGAGTTGACTTATTGTGATTGGCCGGGAACAGAACCAGCCACATTGTGCGGTCTGCCTTAGCTCCACAAGAGTTCCAGAAACGTTTGTTGTACTGTAGAATTGGAACCCATTGCTGAGCCTCCAGTGGGTTTTCAGAAGCCATTAATCATATGAGGGGAGATTGCCCATCCTTCTCCCACCGATGCATTTGAACCAGGTGCTTTTAAGATTGCAGTTTCTTACCACTAGGCCACCAGAGCTCCAAGGTCCTTTAAAGTAGAAAGGAATATAGATGCTGCATCTCTTCTGACTCATGGAATCCCATGAGACAGAATAGAACTATCCCACAGGATTTCATGGACTAATCTTTATAGCGTTCAATATGGATTACATCTCATCATCAAGAAAACAAAAACTCTCGCCATGAATCCAAAAAAACAACATCATGATAGTTGGAGAAAAGATTGAGATTGTCATCTTACTTGGATCCAACAGATATGTCTTGGAAAAAGGACAGCCAGAGTGGAGGCAAAGATGGTGAAGCTTTTACTCATCTATTTTGGGCATGTTTGGAGGGGCTACTCCTTGGAAATGGACATCATGCTTGAAAATATGGAGAGTTATCAAGAGGAAGACCTTCAGCAAGAGGGACTGACACAGTGACTGCAGCATTGGGCTCAATCATCCTAACCTCCAAAGAACACTCAGGCCGCACCCTCTCCAGGGTATTTTAGTTCATTCTTTTAGCTGTCCATGGAATGTTCAGTGCCCTTCACCAACACCACAGCTCAAAGGCATCAGTTCTTCTTTTGTCATCCCTGTTCATTGTCCAGCTCTCAGATAATAGTAATGACCTAGTAATAAAACAGGCAAACCTCTTAGACACTGTGGGTTCAGTTCCAGATCACTGCAATAAAGAGTGTCTCACATCTTTTATTTCTGGGGGTTTAGGGATATTATACTCAATGTTAGATGGATCTTGGCTGAAAGAAGAGAGTACCAGATTAATGTCTATCTGTGTTTCATTGACTGTGCAAAAGCATTTGACTGTGTGGATCACAACAAACTGTGGCTGGCTCTGAGAAGAATGGGAATCCCAGAACACTTGGTTGTAAGTGAACCTATACTTGGACCAGGCAGCAGTCATCAGAATACAGCAAGGAAACACTTCATGTTTCAAAATCAGGAGAAGTGTACGCCAGTAAGGCACCCTATCTCCATGCCTTTGCAATCTGTGCAGTACAGATCATCTGGGAGGCTGAGCTCTATGAGGAGAAGTGAGGCATCAGTATTGGAGGAATACTCCTCAATAATCTGCATTATGCAGATGACACACCCTGCTTGCTGAAACTGAGGAAGACCTGAGGCACTTGCTGCAGAGGGTCAAGGACTGCAGCCTTCAATGTGAATTGAAGCTCAGCATCAAGACAACAAAGATTCTCACCACTGGGCTGATCGGCAACAACATGATAGACAGTAAAGAACTTGAGATTGTTGACAGCTTCCGTTTGCTTGGCTTCACAATCAACACTCTTGGTACCAGCAGCCAGGAAATCAAAGACAAATTGCATTGGGAAAGTCTGCTGTCAGGGACCTCTCTAGACTACTGAACAGTGATGATGTCAGTTTAGAGTCCAAGGTGTGCCTGATCTTTGCAATCACTTGCTATGCATCAGAGAGCTGGATAATAACTAAGGATGATAGAAAGAGAATTGATGCCTTTGAGCTGTGGTGCAAGAGAATAGTATTGAATATACCATGGACTTCCAGGAGAACAAACAGGTTTGTTCTAGAGAGAGAGAAAACAGGCTGCTCCTTGGAGGCAAGGATTCCGAAGCTCTGTACTCATGTACTTTGGACATGTTGCAAAGGAGGGACCGGTCCTTGGAGAGGGACATCATGCTTGGAAGGATGGAGGGACAGCGCAGGAGAGGAAGACCCTCGATGAGATGGATTGACTCAGTGACTGGTATGAAGGGGGTGGGTGTTCCAGAGACAATGAGGTTGAGATTGACTCAGGATAGAGCAGGGTTCAGAGCAGTTGTACCTGGGGTAGCTATGAGTTGCAAATGACTCAACAGTGCATATCAATAACAACAATAGTTTTAGAGAGCTGTGCTCTGAACCCCAAAGTGGTGACTTTCTGGTGATTCGAAGCCACCAGTGACTCTGAGGTCTGAATTACCATGGGAGAAAGATGTGTAATCTCTAGTGCAATTTATAGCGCTGAGTGTTTCCACTCGATGGCCTTGAGCAAGTGTCTGCGTACAAAAGCTATGTCGGCACTAGACTGTGGCACAGCAAGTGTGTAAAAGCGTGATGAAGAAGCTTGACATAGTGTGAGAACGGCCACACGTGATCCAGAGACCCAGAGTGGGCACCTGTGGCTTGGTGCCAGGCTGCCACGAGCATTCCACCTGTAAACAGTGTATGAGCTGCAAAGCACAGAAAAGCAAAGTGCAGTAAAGAGATCTGCCTGTGCCATCAAACCTGCAGAAACCAGCTTGGGAAAGGCGGAAACCTGTCAGAGACGGAAAATGCCAATGTTTCCAGGCAGAGCAAGTACCCTGTTGAAAGCAGAAAACCTGCAAGACCCAGAAACCCAAGGTGATTCTATTGCGCCCCAGCTCTCGCAGGCCCCATGGTTCTAATGGCGGCTTGGTTTGCTAGTCACTGCCTTTCTAGACTTCAAACACTCATCCCTGGAGAGCGCTGGTGACAGGCGGATGGAAACGATGAGAAGAAGGCGTTTTGGAGAGACTAACTAGTGTGGCCTGTGGAATTGAGGCAGATAATATCAAGAGAGCAGGGACAGGAGGGTGGAAGAGGCTGCAAAGATAGGCAGATGTGGCCACCTGCTGGGCTTCTATCTTCACAGGAACCTTGTTATGGTGGCCTCCTGTCCCCTCTCCCATACAGGGCACTGTGCAGGGCCCCAAGGAGAGGTGCTAACCTCAGGGGGCCCGGGAAAGTGAGACAGCCGGAGCCGGGCAGAAAGAGATGAGGAACAGTGGCTGAAGCACAAGTGTTTTAAAGAACACAAACAGCTGTGCAACTCTGAGCATGAATGTCTTCCTTTTGTTTGGGCAGGTGGCGTGATCACCCGGAATACCCATTTTTTGATGAATACTGACGTCAGTGAGCTCATCTGGTCTTCCTGCTGTGCGTGCCAGGAGGCTGGCTGGGTGGTTTCCTCAGCATGGACATAAAAGGGACTTCGCGATCCTCTGAAGATTGGTGGGAACACAAGTAGCTTTTGTCTGGTGTAGCTTTGACTTAGTGATATCCAAGAAAAAAACTGTTCACCTTTGTTGAAATAATTATTGGCAAATGGTAGCTAATAGTTTGTCTCTGGGTTCTAGAACCAAAATACATTACACTTTGGGAAAGGGTTCAAAAGTCAGCCTCCTCATAAATCACGACTCATCTGAGCTGCAGTGTGGGTTTCTTCATGACGAACGTGGCAACAAAGATGGCTTGGAGCCAGCAATACCACTGGGCTCTGTCTTGGCCTGAGTGGTTTGACCACTGATGTAAAAATAAACACAGCCACGGCGAGAGCCTGCATTTGTCATAAACATGCTTTTCTGTGCCTTTTGGAGAGGGGGATGCCTACGTGGAGAAAAAAAAAATCTCGACACATTGCCGCACACTTTAAAATTGACGACCATGCTTAGAAACACATTTTTTTTTTCAATTGTTTATGACTGCCATATGAAATTGAGCATCAGTCGTACGTTTGGAAGTGAAAATTACCACATTTTGTCACAGTTTTTCCATGAAAACTCTTGATGGCACAAAAAAAACCCACAATTGATATCTGGAATGTGACATCTTTTTCCCCCCAATGTATTACTGAATAATTAACAAATAAGTGCATTAGTAGACTTCATACAAATGATGTTCCTTTTTTTATTAATTAAAATGTGCAGGATGGCTGCCGTCATTTGCAGCAACGTGTTAAAATTGGTGTTGTTAGAAGCCACCAAGTTGGCCCTTGTTCACAGCGATTCCAGGTACAACCAGATGAAGCACTGTGCATCACTGTGTATCACTGTGTCATCCACCTGGCCATTGTCCTGTTTGAGCCCATTGTGTCAGCCCATTTCGGTGAGGGTCTTCTTTTTCCTTTCACTCTGCTCATCAATCACGATGTTCTTCTCCAGGCACATGGTTCTTGTCAATATGCCCAATGGCAACAGGGCAAAGTCTCCTATCCTTGCTTCGAAGGAGCGTTCTGGGGGCACATCTTCCAAGATAATTGTGTTTGTTCTTTTGGCAACCCGTGGGGTAGTCAGTCTTCTTCAGAACATCATCATTCAAAGGCATCTGTTGTTCTCTGAATTATGGTGTAGAAGAATCTTAACAGATCACTAAATCCACACACGTCCGCCTAACGCACAGAGATTTTCTTTTCTGGCTTCCATCCAATGCATGTTTGTGTAGCTTTCACTCAACCTGGGCAAAACATAATTAGCTAAGTCCAACCTTTAGGGGTTTGGACATCAACGTGGTGCATGCATATTTCTCATTCTTTCGTATGTTCATCATATGACACCATTACATAAAGTGGCTTGGGAAAAAATGCATTACATAGGTGAAGTCTGTGTCACAAAATTATCCACAGTGATTTTCAAAGGAAGCATTTTAAAAGCATGCTTTGGGGAACATATTGAAGAAAGACATTTTATAAAAACTATTACTATGTTGAAGATTTTCTGAAAGTGGTGTTGGGATAGCTATTGAATTTCGGGAAAGTTTCAAGTTCCAGAGAAGACTGCTGATTTTGCTGGATGTAAAAATTTTAAAGGAAATAAAAATATTATGAGAATCCAACCACAGTGATGTGCTAGAGAAATCTGCTTCATTCATTCACATTAAAGCATTCTCACACAGCAAGAGAGTTTAAGAAAAGATTATATGTGGAAAAGGGCCCTTGGTGGTGCAGGGCTAAGAGCTCAAATGCAAACAAAAAAGATCCTGTGTGCAATTCTATCGCATTCCGGCTCTCACAGGTCCCATGGTTACAATGGAAACTTGGTTTGCTGGTCACTGCCTTTCTAGATCTTAAACTACCAACCCTGAGGAGCGCTAGTCACCAGGGGACATAAATGATGAGTTCTGGAGAGACTAACTCATGTGGCTGGTAGACAAGAGGCAGACAGTATCAAGAGAACTGAGGCAGGAGGTGAGAAGACACATGTGAAGACAGGCAGAGAAAAGGGACGGGAGAGAAGAAGAGGAAGAATTATCTGAGTTAAATTAAGTGTAAAGACATTTGCTTGTGTGTCCTGTTCATGCACATGGGGAAGAGAGGAGAGAAAGGGGTGTGCAGATGCAGAATTGGGGCTTACGCCTTGGTCCTGCTGTGTAAGTCCTTACAAATGTCGTGAGGGCTAAAATTTCAGCTGAGCGATAGATGAGTCTGTAATGTGAACAGCCGCAATCATGAGGAACGTGCTTCTCAGAGTAATCCATCACAGGAGGCCAAGAGAGCCATATCTGGGGCGGGGGGGAACACACACACACGCAAACAGACCCAAACTAAGGCAAGAAGGAGCAGAAAATGGCAAACTGAACTGGGGAAGCTGGTGCGGTCAGGAGGGATGTTGGAGGAACCTCATTCCACTGAGGGGGTCACACCTTCAAGCACAGTATATATGAACTGTTCAATTGAAAACTTATTTGTTCTGTTAATATTCACCAAAACTATAAGTATAAACAAAGAAATAATATTTTGAAAAGAGTGGTATAAAGGTAGGCATAAAAACCCCACATACGAAACTACTTTTAAAAAGACAAGCATTAGAGAGAGTTCCTTCAATTTGTCAGGAGGGCAGAAAATATTTTTTTTCCCCCTAAAGATTATGTGAGAGGAGTTTTCTCTTACTCAAGGAAGAGATAGAATGAAAATAACAGAAGACAGGTAAAGGGAAATTGCAATGAATTGAATTGTGTTCTCTCAAAATACAAGAATATAATGATCTGATGTAATAAGATCTATTAAACAATTTGATTTGTTGAACCAAATAGTTGTAGGAAGATGAAGGGAGGGACATAACACTCCCTAATCCCATCACAGCACTAATGTCAGGGGCGCCATCCTATGGCATAGCCTGGAATATCTTTTATCTCCTTAGAGATAAAAAGGGAGCAAAATGAACTAAGTGGGGAGACGCTCAGCACCAAGTACTGAGAAACACTCAGAGCGGAGCATGTGTGCTTTTTGGACCCGGGCCCCTCCACAATGAAGCTCCCCAACACTGGGAAGACCAGAACACACGGAGACCTTCAGGAAACACTAGCTCTACAGATACAAGATACAGATACAGATACAGGTACATTTCTCCACCAGCAAAAGAGAGAAGGGCCCCCATCATGGAGCCTGGCATCTTGGATTGTACTTGTGTTGTTGGTGGTGGTGCTGTCGAGTTGCGTGCAACTCACAGTGACTCTATATATAACAGCCCTAAACCCTGCCCTATCCTGTGCCAATCTTATTGCCTCTGATACACTTACCCCCATTACCCAGTCACTGAATCAATCCATCTCATCGAAAGTCTTCCTCTCTTGCGATGGCCCTCCACCCTCCCAAGCATGATGTCCCTCTCCAATGACTGATCTCTCCTTGTAACATGTCAAAAGTATATCAGACAAAGCTTCAGAATCCTTGCCTCCCATGAGCAGCCTGGTTTAACCCTCTCTAGGATGAACCTGTTCATTCTCTTAGCAGTCCATGGTATATTCAATATTCAAGCACCACAGCTCAAAGGCACCAATTCTCTTTCTATCATTCTTAATCATTGTCTAGCTTTCTGATGCATAGCAAGTAATTACAAAGACCATGGCCTGTATCAGGCGCACTTTAGCCTCCAGACTGACATTGTTGCTCTTCAGTACTTTGGAGAGGTCTCTGACAGTAGACTTTTCCAATACAATTCATCTTGTAATTTCCTTTGGCTGGTACCAAGAGTGTTGATTGTGGAGCCGAGTAAACTGAAGCTGTTAACAATCTCAATCTCTTCACCATCTATCATGATATTGCCAATTGTCCCAGTGTTGAGAATCTTAGTTTTCTTGATGTTGAGCTTCAATCATATTGAAGGCTGCAGTCCTTGACCCTCTGCAGCAAGTGCTTCAGGTCCTCCTCAGTTTCAGCAATCAGGGTTGTGTCATCTGCATAACGCAGATTATTGACAAGTCTTCCTCCAATTCTGATGCCACATTTCTCTTCATAGAGCCCAGCCTCTCCATTAATCTGTTCCGCATATAGATTGAAAAAACATGGAGATAGGACGCATCCTTAGAAGACCCCCTTCCCAATTTTGAACCATGCAGTGTTTCTTTGCTCTGTTCTGATAACTACATCCTGGTCTAAGTATAGGTTTCACATAAGCACAATCAAGTGTTCTGGGATTCCAGGTGAGAAAAAATGGGGTTGCTTTCATAGTTAAAAAAAGTCATTTCTAGTTTTGAAAAGTCATTCCGTCTTGAAATACAATGTTGTGAGTGACAAGATAATATCCATACGCATACAAGGAAGTCCAGTGAATACCACCATCATACAAATACATGCACTGGAGCTGGAGCGCGCCGCCGGGGCAGGCGGGGGGCCGGGGCCTGGGGCTGGCGGGCCGCCCGCGCCCTGTGTCTAGTATGCGGACGAGGACGGTCGGTGGCGCGAAGCTGCATCCTTTGCAGCCGCAGACTGGGGTGTCGGCAGCGGCGGCACCTGCCGGCCGAGTGATGCCCAGTGATTATAACTGTGAAGCTGAGAAGTGACTGTTCAGGACCGTCCCTGCAATGGTACACCCGTCCTCAGAACAAGATGCGAAGGCCCAGCTTGTTCAAAAACACTGTCAAATGTACGTTGTTTATGTTCGGAGTGTGGATCTTTTATATCGTCAAGAAAAATTATGCTTTTGAAGAATGTGACACGAGAACGCCTAATGTGAATCCCAACCATGTCACGAGAGCTCAGAGCTGCACACAACAAGTTTTGCAGAGGGAGTGCCGCCCCGGGTTTGCCAAGAAGGCTATGGCGCAGCTGTTCAAGGGCCGGTACAGCCTGGACCTGCAGCCCTTTGTGACGCCTGCTGCCAAGGTGGACGAGGCTGAGTACAAGTATGGCCC